GTCAGGTGGATGATTTGGAGGGACTATAATCAAGTTTAAGATATTAAGTCTCGAATTTTGGCGCAAAATTCACTCATCCATTTGGTTAAATAAAGTTTTGGCATTATAGCTGATATCAGTTCATGATGAAAACTGTAAATCTAATTCTTAACCTTAACCATCAACTGTAAATCATAATTCGAATTCTTCATACAAGTTTATCATCTTCGTTTGGTCCTAGTTATTAGGTGGACAATTTCATGGTCTGTTTAGCATCATTGAAAGATCGTCTCACCGATGATTTTGATAAAGTTCTGTTCTCTGAGCTGAGTGTTTTAGTCATGATCAAATTCATATGCTTAAAGTTACAGTTGTGGTTGAACCCTTCTCAAAAAATGTTTCATACAGTGATTTATAATAATTTCTCTTATTTAATATACCATCTAATAATCTAAATTAATTATTGGTTATATGAAAATCCACAGAAAATCATTTTAGTATTGTTTAGTTTTGCTTACAATTATACAGTGTGTTCATGTGAAGTCATTGGTACCTTTTATGAAGGAAATACAATACAACATAAGTATACACAAAGATAACTCTTTCTTGTTTATCTTCTTTATAGAACAAATTAAGTGAACTGATAGATTACATATCACTTATACACTGAATACAATGTACAGTTTACTGTTGGGTTTCATAATTATTCAAATGTTATTATTATTATTATGCTCACATCTGCTGGGATCACCGGGTAAATAATAGTGAGGTTAGATTCAGGGTATTAGGGAATGATGGTGATTCAATTGATGAGGTCGTGAATCTTCATCAAATGAGATGGTTGGGCCACGTGTTACGTATGCCTGAACATTGATTACCATGATGCACAATGCTGACTAGTGTTGGGAATGGTTGGAAGAAAATTAGGAGTGGCCAAACCAAAACGTGGCATTAGTGCTTGAAATAATTAAATTATAGCCTTAGCCATGTTAAGAGATGCAGACTACTTGGTTGGGGTTTGTACGACTATTGTAATCAATGGTTGGAGACTCTGTGTGACATGGCTCAGAATCAATCACAATGGCGTAAGTGTATACATACTTTGTCTTCTCTTAAACTATGAGATTAAAATTGCTTTATATCTTTCTTTCTACAAACTAATTCTTTATTCCTGTAATATATTCTTATATGTAATTTTTCTTTTATATGTTGCTAACATATAGTGCCAACTACTTCTATGAATTCAGTGTTCATCTTGTTGTGCTGATGAGGTATGGTAACTTGAACCGATGTACATATGTGCCTAGTCCTACGTTGTAGCTGACTGATTGTTATTATTATTATTAATTATTATTTAAACACGATGTCATCCAAAATGAACTTGTCAATTTTATGGAACCTTCTTTACAATAAAAATGTAACTATTCAATTAGTTAAAAATGATGCTTTTAGTAATAAAACTTTATTTTCTTACGAAATAAAGATAATTTCTGGTAAATAGTATAACTAAGTCATTGAAATTAATTTTTTTTGTTGAATTCACCGTATTAGTGAATGTAACAATAATGATAATAATGGTATAAATAATGATAAATACCCGGGTAAGGTCAAGGATGAGGAGAGTCAGCTCTCCGACCGACTAGAAATGCTATCATATGGCCACGTGCATACAACCACTACCAGGGAAGTCCTACTCATTGCCTTCTCGTGGCGGGGGTATTTTTTACAGAATTGAAAGAGAAGAAATGAATCTCTGGTGCCTTAACCATATTGGTTGATACAGAGGATCCACCTAGGAGGGTTGAAAAACCCTGATTCCAAACCAATAGTCCACATGGGCTTTAGGATCCTGAGGGGACAAATGGAGTATGAATCAATTATTGGTCATCGGCTATCATGGGACTGCATCTCCTAACGTTGCTCCACTGCCTTGTGGGTCAGACCTTGAGGTCAAAGGCTCGGGTGTGGCCCTCTAAGAAAACAACGTACTTCGGTATGGGCACCCGTGAAGTATCACAGCCCTCACACAAATCAAATGAGATTTGTGTGGCGCATATGTATTTGGTGTCTCCTTGTACCAATATCTATGTGTTCAAATAAATAAATGATAATAATAAACAATTGCCTTCAAATGTTACTACATAACACTACTAAAAGAACCTGCTTACGTACACCACTTTGGTTTCGATTAGGGTTAGTGTCATAAAAATCATAGATGTATATGTAACAACAATTCTGTTTACCTGATATTTACTTGAAAAAAAATCAGTTATTTATTTTTTGACATTAATTAATTATGATTAATATCAGAAGGGTTTTTTGTGAATACTTTAGTGATTGTAATGGTTGAGATCATAAGACAATTGAAGATAGACTACCATGGAAAGTCTAGAACCACTGGATGGCCGTTTCGTCATAGTATGGGACTTTCCAGCAGTGCGCGTCCACAACCCTGCCTCGTGAGAACACGTCCAAAAGATGTACATCTTTATTTCTACGAGGTTAACAGTTAGAATTGTCATACACATAGTTCTTTTTATCATTTTGAGAAGAGCAAGAACAAACATTCTAGCATAATAGCATGAATTCATTCTTATTTCGTCTGGTTCTCATCAGCTGCTTACAACCTGTGATATTTAAGAATCATAATTAGATAATGAGTTTTAAATTACTTACATGAATGGGTTTAGTTGGAAGTTATATTGAAGACATATTCGTAAAGTATATCTTGGGTGTAAATGAAACTAATTGACTGAATATTGTAAATATACATACCTTATGTGAAAGAATATTCTACATCACTAATTATGACAACAGTTCAAAAGGCTAGAAACAAGTAAACATTGTTAGGAATAAGTACAGTTCAGCAAACTTTAGAAGACTGGAGTTTGGCTGCTTACTAATCACTATAAGGGATTTCAAGGTATCTACCTGATGTCCTGTATCAAAGAGATGTTTGGTGGTTGCACTGTTTAGAGTCTTTCTACCTTTTTGGAACATGTTCAAAAAAATCTGAGATGTGGCAGGTACACGTAAATTTATAAATACAGTTGGAGATAACATGAAAGGGGTGCTTGTCGACTTTTGAATATGTTGTTTTATAGAGAATAAAAAGTTTAGCCACCTGATAAGTTCTGGCTAGCGCAGTATTCAGTCTCCTGTGATATCATCACCAATGAAGTTAAGATCTATAGATAATGGCCTTTTATTGACTGTAATTATTTCCGTCTTGTTTTCTTTGTAATTTTTATATTTGTCAATAAACTTTTGTGTGTAAAAGTTGTCGCTTAGACATTTTTCCACGTTCATTAATTCTACTTCCAGTTTGTCGATGGTACATTTCCTTTCTATCCTTTAAAATAATGTTGTAACCAATACTTTCTTGTAACTGATTAGACAAAAACTATTGAAATTCAGGTAAAGGCCATTTCAAGTACTTTTTTCAATAAACCGAACATTGAATTGTTAGAATATTGGGACGTAAGAAATTTGATTAGAACCGAAGACAATTGAAGTATTCAATTCTATTATGAATTATGTTATAAGAAATATTTCTTTGATAAGTACACGTATATGGATTATGTTAATATAGTCTCAACTAGGTGATATCAATGAAAAAGTGAAGTGAATACGTTTTGTATACAATTCACAGTTTCAAGATTTATAAGGATTCATTACGATTTATTCCCTATTCATATTTCAAAAGTTAAAGCATTCCGATGGTGTTCGCTTCTAATTTTAGTCTCTTTAAAGGAAAGAATAGGTCTAAGACCCAAGTTGATTATCTTGTTATTTACCTATTATTAAAAAGCCTTTTATGACATTTACCTTCTTTTTATCCTTTGGTTTTACGACATGACCAGAAAGTATAATCGATGTGCTATAGGTAGTCAAGTATAGATGTATTTAGTATCATTCACTCCTATGTTAAAGTCACTAAGTGAACAATGTTGAGATTTGGATCAAACCCCTTAATTACTTGAAGCAAATCAATTGATAAAACTATTAAACCTACAGAGATTATGTTATTTATCAATCAGATTGTAAAAGATGAATAATCTAGGACACTGTAAATATGAATGAAATAACTGATTGTGTCTTACGAGAATATGTAAATATCTTAGTATCGATCACGTATATCATCAGAGTTACTGGTTCTACTCTTCGTATTCATGTCTTCGCCCCCTATCGACTTGCATCTATCACTCACCACCTTTTCTTTCAATCATATAGTGTAACAAACTGGGATTGATGATTTTATCTTTATATATAGTGGGATTTTAAAACCCGTTATCAACACTTTAACTTGGAATAAGATAAACACAAATCAATTGAATGAATTCATATCTACTGAATTACAATGATCAACACTTTACTAAGCGTGAAATGTTTTAATGACTGATGATTGTTTATCAGTAATGAATTTATTTACATTCATTTCATAAATCTTGTATAACTTGTAACATACATCTTGGATTTCATAGATGTTCGCTTCTTCTACTTCTACTCCTGTCTTCTTCATTTCTTTATACTTTGACTTTATTTGATATATTTTTGTAATTAATTTAGAGATTTTAATCTCAATCATGGTTACACAAACAAACAAATGCAATTCCAGTCGTTACCAGTGGGGTTCAACCAGGTCTGTTGTGAGATATCAGCTCACTAAAGACAATGGTGTACGGTTGCTCAACTACGTGGATCATTTGAAGTTAGACATTAACACCGTTGGATGCCGGCCGGCTCAGTGGTCTAGTGGTTAAGCGTTCGCGCGCAAGACTGATAGGTCCTGTTTTCGAATCTCGCTGGGAAGGAGCGGGATCGTGAATGCACACTGATGAGGAGTCCCATACTAGGACAAAACGGCCGTCCAGTGCTTCCAGGTTACCCATGGTGGTCTGTCTTCAATTGACCCATGATTTCAACTATTGAAATTACTAAAATCTCCACAAAACCCCTTCCGATAATTCCAGCTATGTCATTTTACGTGAAAAATTATTATTTATCTTGTTTTCTTTTAGGAATTAACATGTACAGCGAAATCTGGAGAACATGTAATCACACCGACTACTCGTCGTGAGTGTCCATCGTGTAGATTAAAACAATGTTTTCGAGTTGGTATGAGACCTGACCTTATACAAGTTCGTAAAAGTAAGTAAAATGAAACATTTAAAACTATTCAACCCTAAAAATTCTCCTTCAGTATGTTTTTAAACTGTTTTACTTTTATCAACACGATTATTTCATTCACATCCACTGAAACATTAACATTTAAATAAGTAGACCACAGTTTCAGACAACGGTCCACTATTTGGGATTAACTTTCTAAGTACAGTCACAGTTTATCATTACATGATCTGTATGGTTCTTAGTATTTTGTTGATTTGTATTTCTGAAGATTCAATATTCCTAGTCATCTACATTGCAAGATCATCATGAGCTTACTAACAGTTTGCTTCAAAAGATAATTCAACAAGTTCTAGTATGTTGGAACTGGTGAAATTTAAACATTTCACGAAATAAAAATCACCAGTAACAACAAAGGATAGTCGCTTAACATAGTGAACCGACGGTAGTTTCAAATGTAAATCATTTGATGTCAACTTAGTGATTAAAAGGTTAGCGTCTTCAGCTGGAGTGGAGTTTTTAATGAAGTGCGTTGTGGAATTCCATACTGAGATGGAAAAGCTGTTCAGTCGTTCTTGATTTTCAATATGATCATGCGAAGAAATTTCAATTTACATCCATTAATGATACTGAACATTGTTTAATTCCTAATTCACTGACTAAATGATGTGAAATATTTTGCATAATTTGTAGATCTTTACTTACTTACACCTGTTATCTATCGTGGAGGAGCATAAGCTACCTACCATCATTCTCAATTAAACTCTGTTCTGGTGTAGATCTTTGGTTTGATCACTTTCACCAAGACTGTAATTTATGGACGAACCAATCAGATATAAACTGACAGATCTCGGAATTTGGCGCAAAATTCACTCATCTATTCGGACAAATACAGTTCTGTCATTATAGCTGATGTCAGTTCTTGATGAAAACGCCAAGTCTAATTCTTAACCATAACCATCAACTGTAAATCATAATTTTAATTCCTTAAACTGGTTTATAACCCTCATTTAACCATAGTTATTAGTTGGACACTCACAAGGTCAGTTTAGCGTCACCGAAAGGTCGTCCATAAATTATAGTCTTGACAAGTTTATTTGAAGTCTAAAAAAGATTATCAGAAAATCATCTGATTGAGTTGTTTTGGAATGAAATGGAGAATTTCATTAATATTTTTATTATTCTTACTATAAGTATCTATGCCAAGATTGAACTTGACATTTTCAAATAAATTGACCATTGGGTAGAAAATTAATAATGAATATATGTTTTGGTTACATCCCCATGAGTAGAAAAATTGTATTTCTGACGATGTTTCGTAGCCTAATGTAAACTGCTTCTTCAAAGGAAATAAATAATCGACACTAAATTAGCCCAAGTTTAAATAGTATAAAAGAAAACAATGCGGAATGGGTCTGAATAATTATGATTTTGATGTACCCAAAATATTCTGCATTATTTTCTTTATACTGTTCAGTTACTTGTTTACTCTGAAGAAGTCGTTTACATCAAGTTACGAAACGTCGCCAGAAATACAATTTTTCTACTTATAGGGATATAACAAAAGTATATTCATTATTATTATTATTATTATTATCATTTTACTCACTAATTTTTCATTGATTAAATTATGCTTATTTAGAAGATGGAAGTAAACCACGATGGTTGGATAAAGTTCCACGTGCAGCTATTGTTCATGAACAACACTTACAATCTTCTGAATCATTACAATGGTCAACAAATATCAATAGTACTACATTTCATAATAATAATGACAATGATAATAATAATAATAATAGTAGTAATGTTAATAATACAATTATTAATTCTAATCATCGCATAAAATACCGTTTAAATCCTGATAAATTTTCTAAAAATAAAGTAAAAGAATTGAAGCCTCATTTAACTGAACATCAACCTGTAGATATCAACAACAATAATAATAATAGTAATAGTAATCGTAATAGTAATAATAATAATAATAAAGATAACAATGTAAGCTGTATGGAAAAATCAATTAATTTGAAAAGATTCAACATGAACTCAAATGATTCAGTAAAAACCCTTTCAGATTCTTCATATTCTTCAATCCTTAATCCTCATCAGCAACATCATTATCATCATTCAACTTCTATTTCACCTCGTTCCCTTCATCATCAACAACGTCAACAATATGAAGAAGAAGTGACTAGTGATGATCAATTAAATGATTATATTATGTGCGTAACATCAAGTCCATCATTGAATACATCAAATATTTTAAATAATGTTCATTATTCAATTACGTCAAATAATCTTGATAAAGACTTAAGTATAAATTCAGTATCCACTGGAATAATTACTGATAACAATACTAATAGTAATACAAGTGATAGGACAAGTCCTAGAATAACAACTACCATAGCAACTAATTATTTTCCAGCAGATACAGTTTTTCATTTCAATAGTTTAATCATTCCAAATTCATGTCAAAATAATAAATATGGCGACATCAATTTAACTGATTGGAAAACATCATCGGAAAATGAAGACAATAATAAAACTACTATAAACAATGTTGACTGTATTACGTCATCACCATTACTATCAACATCATCTCTTATCATACCATCTACGACGGCGTTGACAGAAGCGTCGGTAGCTATGGTAAAAGTCACTTCAGGCAATACTGTTACAACTACCAAGATAACAACGATAACAAACACAGGAATTATTAATAATGATGATGGTAAGCAACCTTCATCGGATTTACTTTACGCAGAACATCATCATCACCACCACCACCACCACCAAAATGTGGACTTCAGCACTTTGAACGATATCAATCACTTAGGTTAGTAGATTTTTAAAGAAACTGATAATAAATTTCAATAGTTGAAATCATGAGTCAATTGAACCTAGACCACCATGGAAAACATGGAGGCACTAGATGCCTGTTTCATCCTAATATGGGACTCCTCAGCAGTGCGCATTCACGATTCCGCTCCCCGAAAGGTTTGAACCCGGGACATATCAGTCTCGCGCGCGAGCGCTTAACCACTAGACCACTAAGTTATCCGGCATCCAACGGTGTCTAACTTCAACCAATCCACGAAGTTTTAGCTTCAATTGACTCATGATTTCAACTATTGAAAATTCTAAACAATATCCACAAAACCCTTTCTAATAATAATCATCTGCTCACTAGTGGTTGACTTCAAGAGGCATTTCCTGGAGTTCTATTGAGAAGCTGTTACCAGTGGAGTTCAACCAGGCCTGTTGTGAGGTATCAACTCACTGAAGACAATGGTGTACGGTCGCTCAACTACGTGGATCATTTGAAGTTAGACATTAACACCGTTGGATGCCGGCCGGCTCAGTGGTCTAGTGATTAAGCGTTCGCGCGCAAGTTTGATAGGTCCTGTTTTCGAATCGCGTGGGGAGCGGAATCGTGGATGCGCACTGCTGAGGAGTCCCATACTAGGAAGAAATGGCCATCCAGTGCTTCCAAGTTTCACATTGTGGTCTAGCTTCAAATGACTTATGATTTTAACTACTGAAATTTCTAAAAAATCTCCATAAAACCCCTTTTAATGATAATAAATTTGTTTATAAATAATGGAATATAAGATTGGTATAATTGTTTTCAGGGGTATTTATTATTTTGAGATTCCTTGATAACCCCTCGGAAAATTCTCCAAGAATCAAATGAAAACTATAAACTAATTAGTGTTCAATTAGATCCTCATCAGGCTTGGTTCTAATATAAAGCAATAGGTATATGTATATATGAAATATTATTCTAATTAAGGCTTTTATGACTTAGTGTTTATAATGAAACAGATTACATAAACATTACACAATCAATGCTTCATAATAGGAAATTGGTCAGTGACCCAGAAAAATTGACATTGAATTAACATTCACTCATTGTTCTCTGAGCATTACTATCGAGCTCAGAGAACAAAACTCCATCAAAATCATCCACCTAAGTTACAAATCTTCTTTACCATCTCATTATGTAATGCTTTTTTGTTAATCAATAGTTTGTTATTTGATATAATTTCCTAATTATATGTGTAGAGAAAAGAAATAAATTGCCAGAAAACAGCATTTATGACTCTTTAATAATTTACTAGTTGAATTCGTGGGTCAATTAAATCTCGACTACCATGAAAACCCTGAAAGCACTAGACGGCCGTTTCGTCCTAATATATGATTCCTCAATAGTGCACATCTACGATCTTGCTCTCAGGATTCAAACCTAGTACCTTTGGTCTTGTACGCGAATGCTTAAGCCTTAATAATTACTTAACCCAAAATTTCTCGGTCAGAAAAGTTTAAAGAGAACAATGACGTTACCAACTTAATGTTTATGACTATCATGACGAATTATTGTACCTCTTGAATAAAATCAATTATTTATTAATTAATATTATATTCAATATATTAATAAAGTAAATTTCATTTGAATAATTATTTTACTCTCATAAATAAAAAAAAAACTAGATGACCTCATTCTACTAACTGATTCTAATCAATTCATTGAACAACAAGAAAGTACAAATCAATTAAAAGTACCTTCGAAAATTTTATCACCATTACCTTTTACACTACCACCACAACCACCACCACCAAGAACAACAACAACAACACCACCACCACCACAAACACCAACAATGACAACAACAACAACAACATCTTTATCATCGGCAACAATATTACATAATAATCTATCTAAAAATAATTTAATGTGCAATTTTATAAATGATCATTCAATTGTTTCACCATGTATAACATCTAGTTTAATGTTTACAACTGATACATCAATGATATCTAATATATCGAATATAACAAATGGTTTATCAGAAATATGTCAACATTCAAATGTTACATCATTATGGAATACTTCATCAATAGATGAACAATTCACAATACCGATAATCAATACACAACAAAATGAATCTTTATTATCAACGTATTCAAACAACAATAATAATAGTAATAGTCATAATAATTCAATAAATCAATCATTAGAATGTATTTCAATAAATAATCATGATAAATTATCATTTGATGTATCATTAAATAGTACAATGAATTCATTGTCAAGTGAATTATCTCCATTATTACCATCTTCTTCTGTTTCCTTGTTCTCTTCCTCTTCCTCCTCCTCCTCCTCCTCATCATCATCATCATCATCATCTTCTTCGTCGTCGTCATCATCATCATCGTCATCGATTTCAATTAGATGCAATGAACTACAATTAGATGTTAATTCTATTAAATCTTTACAATTTGAACAAAATGGTAATAATAATAATAATAATAATTACATCATACCGGTTGATTTAAATAATATACTTTTGTTGAATGAAAGTAAATTATCCAATGATTATCCAGTAATAAGTAATCCCGATAGTAATAATAATAATAATAATAATAATGATTCATGGCCAAATCTGAATCACCATCAAATGAATTCAAATAAACAAGAATTACAAACAAAATGTGAACAAGTAAGTTAATCAAAAAAGTAATATAAAGTACTATTTATAGAATAGATAGAATTATGCTTTTACTGGAATCTAAGACAAAAGTTTCATCCTATTTATGATATATGTCGTGTAGAGGAATGTAGATATCAGTGTTAATGTTCATAATGAGACTCAAATCTGGTTACTTACTTACTTACTTACTTACTTACTTACTTACTTATACCTGTTACTCCTAATGGAGCATAGGCCAACGACCAGCATTCTCCGAACCATTCTGTCTTGAGCCTTCTTTTCCAGTTCCATTTAATTCTTGTTCATTTTTCTCATGTCTATGTCCATTTTTCGGAGTAATGTATTCTTTAGTCTTCCTCTTCTCTTTTGGCCTTGAAGAATCCGTGTGAGAGCTTGTCTTGTGATGCAGTTGAATGCTTTCCTTAATGTGTGTCCGATCCATTTCCAGCGTTTCTTCCTGATTTCTTCCTCCACTGGAATCTGGTTTCTTCTTTCTCATAATAGGTTGTTGCTGTTTGTGTCTGACCAACGGATCGAAAGAATTTTGTGTAGACAACTGTTAATAAACACTTGTATCTTTTGGATGATGGCTTTCGTAGTTCTCCAGGTTTCCACCCAATATAGTAGAACTATCTTGATGTTCTTATTAAGAATCCTGACCTTGGTGTTGGTTGTCAATTGTTTTGAGTTCCAGATGTTCTTCACTTCTAAATATGCTGCTCGTGCTTTGCCGATCCACGCCTTCACATCTGCATCAGATCCACCATGTTCATCAATGATGCTTCCCAGATATGTAAAGGTTTTTACATATTCAAAATCTTCTCCGTCAATCATGATTGGATTGGTGCATACTGTGTTGTATCGAAGAATCTTGCTTTTCCGTTTATGTACGTTGAGACCTACTGCTGTTGAGACTGCTGCTACACCGGTCGTCTTTTCCAACTGCATCCTAGATGTCCACTGTATCCGGTGCTACCCTTCAGAAGTTGACGTCTTCATGATCCAGTCGTATCAAATCTGGTACCTTTCAGTTAAAATGGCCACACATACACTGAGCTAATGAGTTCAGATAACTTATAAATTCTTCATTGGATATGATACTTAGATTACTGTTATTAAGGGATTAAATGGTTGGATTGTTAACATTCAGCACAGGATTGTCATCATTTTTTACTGGCAGAGATGTATCCTGTGTAGATTGATTCGATGTAACTATTTTGTTACACGTTTTATGAAATATATAGATTGTAGTTAGTAGTGAGTTAGTAAGATCAAGGACACCAACTTCATTCGGTGTTGAATTTATCAGCTGGCTGTAATTGCATTGCAGTCTTAGTGTTCACACTTAGTAATCAAGTAAAAAAACACTATTTTCTGGTCATAACGACTATGATAATTTTGTGATTCAATAGATCGTTATTACTAAGACTACATCTCAATATATTTATTTGTTTTAAGAAAAATATATACTCCTGGGATCCTAATGAGAAGCTATGAACAGTAGAGTTAAATGTTGTCTGTTAGCCACAGAATAAAATGGCAGATGATCTGAAAGTATTGGGAACTCGTTGGAGTTAGTTATGTACACTATTGCATTTCGGTTTAGAGGTTTGGAGACTGAACCTTCTTGCTAAACCGAAAGCCCTGAGTTTTGTCCTTTGTGATGTGGTTATGGATTCACTTTTCTAAGGAGTCTCACAATATGACAAGACACTTGTACTGTACCTTCTCGTTTTCGGTTGATGCCCAACTTATATCGGTTCATAATATCAATAATATTCAATAATTTGATTTACAGTTTAACTATCGTTCGTTATTAACAGATATATTTTTCTTACTGCCAACATAGGTGGACTTCGATAATCATAAATCCTGACGAGAAATTTAAGAACAGACTTTATAGTCGGCTATTAAGTTGTATTGAAATACCCACTTTTCCGATTCCCTTCAGGATTCCAAGTTAGCGCTTGTCTCGTAATGCAGTTTATGATTTCTTCAATGTATGTCCTATCCATTTCCATCATCTTTTCCTAATTTCCTCTTCAGCTGGAAGCTGGTTTGTTCTCTCCCACAAAAGGCTGTTGCTGATGGTATCTGGCCAATGGATATTGAGTATCTTGCGTAGACAGTTATTGATAAATACTTGTACCTTCTTGATGGTGGTTGTTGTAGTTCTCCAACTTCCATCTCCGTACAGTAGAACTGTCTTGACGTTGGTATTAAACATTCTGACTTTGATATTGGTTGATAGACAGTTGTTTTGAGTTCCATATGTTCTTTAATTGAAGGAATGCGGCCGTTGCTTTGTCAATCCTCGCCTTTACGTCTGCACCTAAACCTCCTTGTTCATCGATGATGCTTCTCAGGTATGTGAAGAATTCTACATCTTCCAAAGTTTTGCCATCAAGAATGATTGGATTGATTGGTGTTCTCCGTGTTGTATTTGGGGACCATGGTTTTCTCCTTGTGTATGTTGAGGCCTACTGATGCAGAGACTGCTGCTACGCTGGCTTTCTTTATCTGCATTTATTCGTGTGTATGCAATATGAAAGCTAGGTTATCTGCAAAGTCCAAATCGTCTAATTGGTTCTGAGCTGTCCATTGTATGCCGTAATAAGACAATTTCATTTTAAAAATATAAAAAATTGTATAATTTATATTTGAAATGTTATTTACATTCATTCATTCTAAGGTGACAATTATGACAATTCAAAACCATTTACTATATGAAATCAAGTCATCTCAATTTTGATTTTACCATTACCATTTATTTTTGTTTTCATTTTATATTACAATCTAACTAGCTGGTTTCCTACTGAGTTAACATAAAATCATGTTACGTAATCCTGTTGTATTTCTTGACAGACAATATATTGAGATTTGATCTTGTTAAATGAATATGAAGTTTTTCATTTCAAGATGATATCCCTAGAATTTTTATTAACTAGTATTATAAAACAGTAGGATGTGATCGAGTTGAATGGTAAATATTGTATGTTATGTTAGATACAATGAATCTATCATAATCTTAGATTGTTATGATTTGTTATGATCAAATCTGAATAGAGCTTTAATGAATTAATATCTTCAATAACTGATGATTTTTTTTATAAGACTGATTAGTTGAGCGAAGTATTCTGTTTTTTTTCAGTGACTTCATTATTAAAGCTGTACAATCATAGTGACTATCAGGACTCAGTAACTAAGTGGATAACGGTGATGGCGTTTGAAGCGAACGGTAGGGGGTTAGAGTTCAAGAGTGAATATCAACTCTAGGATATAGGCACATCCAGCTGACGAGTCGTAAATAGGAAGAAATGCGCGTGAAACTGAATTCCACTGCTAGCTATTATTAATCTTTGCTTATCAAGCTTGTGACTTATGGCTATATTGAGACAGTACACACAGTAGACATATATACTGATCAATTGCAGTTCTAAGTAACAATGGGAAGATACATGTAGAACAACACCGAGTGAAGCTCTTCGATTCTGTACACGTATAACTTGAAGTGGAATCCAACCTCTACAATCATTTATGACACAATGCTATGCCTGTCTCATCCTATTTCACATTAAGTAACATTTTGGACATAATTACAGAGTTACTTGGTAAAATAGAAAAACCATACTATAATACTTAATTTACAAAATTTTCAATAGTTGTCTCGGACTTCATTGTTCTTGTATTTCTATGCTAATTGCTTTCTATCCCCGTCCTTCTTTACTTGATCTTTCCAATCTTCTGCTACCAGACATTCATGAACTTATAAAAGTAAACTTTGATTATCAAGAGTATTTATTACCTTACTTACTTACGCCTGTTAGTCCCAATTGAGGATAGGTCGCCGACCAACATTCTTCAACTTACTCTGTCCTGAGCCTATCTTTCTAGTTATATCCAATTAATATTCATTCTTCTTATGTCTGTCTCCATTTTTCGTCATAATGTGTTCTTTAGTCTTCCTCTTGAGGATTCCATGTGAGGGTTTGACTTATGACGCAGTTAGGTGATTTCTTCAATGTGTGTCCTATCCAATTCCAGAGATTCTTCCTCCACTGGAATCTGGTTTCTTCTTTCCCATAAAAAGGTTGTTGCTGATTGTATCTGACCAACGGATCAAAAGTATTTTGCGTAGACACCTACTAATAAACATTTGTATTTTCTGTATGATGGTTTTCGTCTTTTTCCAAGATTCCGCCTCATACAGTAGACCTATGTTAACATTTGTATTGGAAATTTTGACTTTACTGTTGATTAAAAGTTATTTTGAGTTTCAGATGTTCTTCCGTATTCATAACCGGTTATTATCTAATCAAAATTTGTAAAAAGAAAATACAAAGATGAATAATGAATAATAGGGGTGTATGTTTGTATAAACGTTTAAATAATAGGTGATAAACAATAAGCATACCGATATGAATGATGTCTATCAATCAGTAGTAATACTCATTTCATTGTAAAAATAAACTTTTAAATCATCAATTAGAACTATATGAATGACAAAATTGAATGGAAACTGTCTGTTAACTTAGTATTATAATCTTTTGTGACTAAACAGCTCTATGTTTATTTCATGAATCATTTAGTTTATATATGAATATTCTTCAAGATAAAAAGGAAATTCACTTTCTTTTTTGTGACTGTTCATTCTTTTTATTTCCTTCAACCTGAAAATAAGTTTGTATAAATAGGAAACACTAACTATCTACCCACACATCTATCTATCTATCCACACATCTATCTATCTATCTATCTATCTATCTATCATAAATCTGAATTCTATAATCTCGCAAGGGACGAGGTCGTGGGTGCGCACTGCTGAGGAGTCCCATAATAGGACGAAACGGCCGTCCAGTGCTTCCCGGTTTCCTATGATGGTCTTATTTATTTATTTATTTTAACACATAGATATTGGTACAAGGAGGCACCAAATATATATGCGCCACACATATCTCATTTGATATGTGTGAGGGCTGTGATACTGCACGGGTGCTCAAACCGAAGCAGGTGGTTTTCTTAGGGGGCCACACCTCGAGCCTTCGACCTGAAAGTCTGACCCACAAGGCAGTGGAGCATCGTGAGGAGATGCAGTCCCATGGTAGCCGGTGACCAACGATTGGTTCGTACGTCATTTGTTACCTCAGGATACTGGAGCCCATGTGAACCATTGGTTTGGGATCCGGTTAAAGCGCCAGACATTCGCTTTTTGTCCTCTTATTTTCGTAAACAACAGTAATGCCACGAGAATGCAGTGAGTAGGACTTCCCTGGCAGAGGCTGTATACGCGTGACCATGTGAGAGCATTTAGAGAGGAAGAGCGGACTCTCCCTACTCTCAGCCGTACCAGGGCATTTGGGGGCCCTATGATGGTCTAGTTTCAATCGACTCATGATCTTAACCATTGAAATTCTATAATCTTTAAAAATCTATTGAAATCAACCTCATGGACTTATCGTTTAGAAGTGAAATAAATTTTCATTTATTATCTTAGATAGCAAAACTATCATTGTTTATAATCCTGTTACAATTGATGGCAGGATACTATGATTTGTTTGGTGAATTAATGAAATCAATAGGAAAACCTTCTTAACCTTACATTTTATATAACATATGGATTGTTAGCAAGGTATATCTATAATCCTGAGGTAGTTGTTGATTCACTTGAAATTGGAATCCTTGTTTAAGATTGTTACATAAATGTTACCAGTACAAGTTAAGTAATTTATTGAGTTGATCACAACACTTTTCAAGATTTTCTCGTCATGTACTAATGGCTCATTTATCCTACCTTTTATAAAAAAAATATTCTTTACGGCATATTCAACTATATCCTACTCTAGCCTTGTACACTGGCTAGTATCTGGGTAGGTTGAAAAAGCCTAGACCAAACATGGATGAGTTATTATTCCTTTAAAATCACTGAATCCTTATATGAATGCTGTCGAAGTAATATCCGTTCATTCTTCATTCCATATTTTTTTTACATTTTTAATTTGAATCACTCTTTAGAAGTATGTTCCCAATATGTTTATTATAATCTATGATTGTGACTATTACTAGTATTATTTCCATTGTTCTGTTTTTAGCTTCAATTACCATGTCCTCTTTGTATTTTCTTTAAACTGATGCAATGTTTGGAAAGTTTAGTCGCGATACATGTATCGGATCCTACAACATATATGTTAATCTGTTTCAACCAATTAATCAGTCAGCTACAACATAGGATCAGGTACATATATGCATCAATTCAAGTTCCCATACCTTATTAGCACAACAAGATGAACATCAAATTCATACAAGTAGTTAACTCAATGGTGATAATATATAAAAGAAAGATTGCATATAAGGAGATAGTACAGGAAGGAAGAATTAGTTCGTAGAAAGAAAGATATGAAACGATTTTAATCTCTTAGTTTAAGGGAAGACTTCTAACAGCATTTAAGATCACTGTACACATAATCAATCTCTATTAATCTGTTTAGTTAATTTAATATTATCACTCTTTAACAGTGTTGATCAGTATCCAACTAAATGGGTTACTAATACATTAAAAGCTCATCATTGAAATTAGTGTTACAAAGTACTTTTTTATTTACTCATTCTTTCTTTCAGATTTTTACTGATCTAAACAAAAATGATAATAAAATGGATGGAATGTCTGATATTTTTCAAAATAAAAGTAAGTTATCCTATTATCAATTGATGTAATGTGATTTGTGCTGATCCAAATTGATCTCAGATCAGATTGATAAGTGAAATTAAGATCATGTATAAAGTAATACTATACAAATCAAGTTCTCATTTCTATCATATATACATATGATCAACATTACTCAATGATTAATAACTATAAGAGTACAAGTGATTATCAATGATATATTAAAACAAAAATTAGATAGTTAGATGGAAATTTAAATGTTCTTAGTAGTTTATACTCATAACTGCAAATGTAATCGAATTCATGTTCATTTAGTCTAGTAATGTTCTATAATGTCTATTATGTTCTTATCTCCCACTTCCGAATAATGTGAATTCTCAGCTTAAAGAATCATCAAGTTTAATTAGTATCTAATAACTTACTGATCAGATAATGAACAGAGTTGTTTTAATTAGATCCAAAAATAATGATACTTCTCCAAAAACCAGATTTATAATGCAGATATTTACCGCTTAGTATATATGGTTAATGTTACGCGGAACATTTCCAATATGCACTTATTGCATTGTACCTTTCACCTTCAGTCTCTTTTCAGTCTAATCAGTTGCTAAGTGATGAATATTGTAGTATAAATTTTATCAAATACGAACGACTAAGGTTATCCATAACAATCTACAGCGAATATATTCAATGGAGCGAATCAAGACATGTAAAATGTGAAAAATTTATTATTACTGTTAATGTTAAAGCTGGAAATGGAATAGTTAACGGTAGTTCCACTCCAATAGACAGAGCACGTTAAAATTCTAACGGATGGCCGCAGCCTATAACATTTCGGTATGAATATTGAAATGCCATAATATTTTGCTTATCTATTTTTACTACTTATTAGTAGGCAAACATTTTATTAATAAATAGACGTTTAAAATAAACAGAAAATTTTCTTTTCGACGAAATCATTTACTTAAGCTAAACATTTGTACTTATTACTATTGTTGTTATTATTACTAGCTTTATTAAATATTCTATTTTTGGTGCGATATAGAATCCTCAACACAAAGTATTTCAAAAAGTTTCCGTTTCTTATTTATTGATCGCTCCTTGCAATAAATGTTGAGTGATCGACAGTTAGATGTTAGCAATTCAGGAATTGACATTCATATTATCGGCAACCACGACGACTCTGATTGGAATCCTTTGTAACTTGTATAGAGAAATGTCGTAAACATTTCACAAACGTACCTAAATAGGTTATGCGACTAATAGGCATAGTGTTATGTTAAAACAAACAGGGGAAAAAAGAACTTGTTGAAATATCCAATTGCTGAAACAGTTAGCCCAGATATTCAAGTAGGCCATCTTGATTATATAATACGGCTTAATTAACTGGTTTCATGGATGAATTCTCTTTATTTTTACTCAATGACACAATAGATTATTTTAAATTTACGTTTACATGTTCATAACATTTAACACTGGGCACATGTTTTCGTTACTTCACAATCTTCTGTCTGTAAATCAAGCTAGAAGAGGAAACGATAATGATACTACTCTTTTAAAAAATTCCACTTTATACAGTTCAGTTTCAAACTTAATCTTGACAAGACTATAATGTATGGACGAACTAATCAAGTAAAAGATAACAAGTTTTATATTTTGGCCCGAAATTCATTTATCCATTTGTCACACTACCGTTTTTGCATTATAGCTAATATCAGTTCATCATGAAAACTCTAAATCTAAATCCTAACCCTAACCATCAACTGTAAATGATAATTCTCATTTTTCACACTGGTTTATCATCTTCATTTGATCCTAGTTACTAAGTAGATACTTTCATGGTCTGTTTACCGTCACTGTAAGGTCGTCCATAAATTATAGTCTCACCTGAATGATATTAATTATAAAAAAAATTTCTTATCTTATCATTTATATTTAGATCAATTATATAATAAAAATACAATAACAATTCCAATCAATTTAAATAAAGTAAATAAATCATGGTTAAATCTATGGCAAAATGGATTTATCATTCCAAATCCTGAACAACTTGATTTAAATTTAGATATCACTGAATATCCTACATTGAAATGGTGTCTTACAATAGCTAATCTATGGAGTGATTTATTCCTACGTCGTATATCAGTATTTGCCATGTCATTATTAGGTGATCTTATAAAAGATAATAATAATAATAATAATAAAACAGGATATTTGTCAAGTAGTCATGACAACAATCATCATGAATATGAGGATAATAATCAAAACATTAATGAATCGAATATTTGTATTTCAACTAATGAATATTATAATGAATTGAATCCTATTCATGGATTATTACAAAATGAAAGAGAAAACAATAAAAATCATGTATTGAATGATATGAATGATCTATATTTAACGTGGGATGATATGTTATGGATAGCTAAAGTAAGTTATGAGTTGAAATGTTTTGATACAATTATCAATGATGTTTTATATTATCACTGTAAGGAATGGACAATTATATGATGTTGGATCAGTGATCTAACAGTTAAGCGCTCGAGTGCAGGACTGACAGGTCCTTGGTTCGAGCCTCGAGAGGCGGGATCGTAGATGAGCACTACTGAAGAGTCTCACTATAAGACGAAACGGTCTTCTAGTGCTTCTAGGTTTTCTATACTGGTTTAGCTTCAATTGACTCATGATCTCAACTATTAAAATTATGATAATATCCACAAAACCCCTTCTGATATTAATCAACATATGCTCACTAGTGACGGTCTCCAAGAGGTATATCCTGGAGTTCTAGTGAGGATCAGTGAGATTCAAACCTACGATTTGTAATCTCAACTATTAAAAAATTACTATAATATACACAAAATCCTTTCTAATATTAATCAACATATAATCACTAGTGACTGGTTTAAAGTGGTATTTCCTCATGTTCTAGTGAGAAATAGTGATCAGTGGAGTTCAAACGGGTCTGTTGTGAGATAGTAACTCACTGAAGACAATGGTGTATGTGTCGTTTAATTTCGTGAATTAGTTGAAGTTAAACATTAACACTGTTGGATGTCGGCCAGCGCAGTAGTCTAGAGGTTAAGCGGTCGTACGCGAGACTGCTATGTTTTGGATTCGAACCTCAAATCTCAAAACCCCTTTTAATATTATTTATTTGATTATTTTTTAAATGTGTTTATCAGTAAAATGGAGAACAAAAGTTTTAAGAAGATTATTGATTAGGCTTGACTTCTCTGTTCTGCCTTTAAATTTATGATAATTTCATCATCGTTCATTAGAATACTAAAATAAAAGAAATTCTAGGCCAATTTTAATGGTTTGCATTCAGCTATCAGATTTATCCAATGATGAGGAATTCTTATAATAAATTATGTTTCCATGAAGTTGCATAGGCCACACATTACGGATACTACAAGATTACGTCATGAGCAAGCCTTAACCTTGAATTCTTCAAGAAAAAGGAGAGGAGGCAGGCCAAATAACACATTGAGTTGGAAATTAGAATTGGACGTAAAAATAGTGGACTGTAATTAGGAAAACCTAGAAATTGTAGTGAACGATATAGAATAGGTTGAAAAATCCTGATCTGGGGCCGATAATTCACAATGAGTAATAGCCCTAAGTGAGTAAGTAGGTAAAGTGAAATAGGTTTCGAAGATGAAGTGCATAACTATGCTAGCTTCAAAATATCTGATTAAATGTTCAGTATTTTAAATAAGTAAAGTAGATGCTTTCTTTATAGCTTGAATCTTGTTCGTTCATAAACAACTATGATTCATATTATCGGATTAACAATTAAGCACACATAGAACATTATTAAGCAAAAATGAATAGTGGCTAGCAGTGGAATCCAGGAGGCGCGTTTCGTCCTCTTTTTGGGACTCGTCAGCTGGATGTACTCAGAGACTCGAACCCAGTACCATTCGCTTCAAACGCCATCGCGTTATCCACTTACCTACTGAGTCCTTATAACCACCTGTTTGTGCATGAGTCTGATCCATTGCAATCCCAAAATAACAATGGGAAGATACAAGTAAAAGAACACTAAGTGAATTTGTAGAGAACTATTATTTAATCAATGTGCACAACATCATATTAAATTAGTTATTGAGTAAATATTATTTTTGAAATATTTTCATTCATTGTTTCTTTCTTCTTCTCAGAATCGATTTACAGATTGTGTTCCTGTTTTATTAATCGGTTGTTCCTTATTGGTTAATAAAACTATGACATCACCATCATCATCATCACATTATCAACCACATCAGCATCATCGTCATCATCAACATTATTATCAACCAATTTAAATCAAGAAACCCCAACAGATTTAAATCATTCAAATAACCATTTTTCAATTAGTAACAATAAATTCACTGATGATTTAGAAAAATTATCATTTCAGTGTTCAATCAATAATAATAATAATAACAAAGATGGGGACCATTGTGTAATATCATCATCTTCATCATCATCATCATCGTCGTCGTCATTGTCGTTGTCGTTCTCGTCCTCGTCCTCGTCATCATCATCATCATCATCATCATCATCATCATCATCAATCATAACGACATCAAATAAGAAATATAATACAAAATTAATATATTTTCAAACAGAACCTAATTCTCTACATGTTTTAGATTTAACTAAATTAAGTAATGCTTTAGGAGATTTAAGTATAGATTATTCACTTATCAATACTACTACTAATACTACTGATAATAATAATAATAATAATAATAATAATAATAATAATAGTAATAATAATCATAATCATAATCATAATAAACAACTTGCTTATCCAATATTAAAATATCTTGATGCATATATATCACAATTAGGTAGTTTTTTAGCTCATCATCCATTATTATTAAGTACATATATGGCATTAAAATTAACTGATCCAATAATAATAAAAAATGATGAAATATATGATCAAATTATAAAAAATAATCATTATGAATGGAATATAATAAAATATAATCGTAATCAACGTTTACAACGTTTACATGAACATTTTTTAAATATATTTTATGAAGCTATTGATATTGTTGCTATGGAAACAACACAATTCAAAATCAATCACAATCCTCCTCCTCCTCATCATCATCATAATAATAATAATAATATAATAATAATAATAATCAATATATAAATCATACATTTATATCACAAGAGAAAATTGCTGCTAATTCACGACGTATTATGTTAACAGAATTTTTAGAATGGAGTCGTGAATTTGATTTAACATGGAATCATTTTCAATATGATATATGGAAACAAGTTCAAATGAAACAAAATATCGATTTATTATATAATAATAATAATAATAATAATAATAATAATAATAATAATAATAATAATAATAATAATAATGAAAATAATGAATATAAAATATCAAAAGGATTAAATGGATTATTTAATAAACAATTAAAATGTAATGAAAATGATTTATTCACAATATTATTGGATGCTAAAAATGAACAATCATTAATTCTATAGTATTATATTGATGTTGATGATGTCGATGATGTGGATGATGTCGATGTCGATAATGATGATGATGATGATGTCGATGTGGATGATGATGATGATGATGTAGATGAAATTTCGTGATATTTAATTCATGTGATTAAAATGTCTTCCAAAATTGATTTATTTTCATTTAAACAATATAGAATTCTTATATATTAATCCTACTCTAATATAAAACAATCTTCTATTGAATATAATTCATAATTGTAAAGTTTGAAGAATATGAGAAATACACATTCACATTCACACACACACATACATATATATACCTACAGAGAGAAAGACATGAGAAGCAGATTAAAACTTGCGAAAGGATCATTTACATAATTGTACAGATAAACAATCTAAATCATATATATCCTTGTATAATTTATAACAGAACAACAACAAACTATACATGATTCTAATAAAGATATTCCTATTTTTTTCCCTCTTCACATTCACATATATATATATATATATATATATATATATGACAACAAATACAGTAAAGATATGTAATAATAATAATAGTAATAATAATAATAATGATACGTTGCAATTTACAAATTCATTATTTTCAATACAGAAAATATTTAAAAAAGAATACAGAAATCGTTTTTTTAAAGAAAAACTTCTCCCGCCTTTCTTTTGTTTATATTTGTATTTACGTGTGCACGCACATGAGCACACGCCCGCACGCCCACACACTCACATTCACATACAGACAGTAATGAATAGTCATTATATGAAATAGTGAATAGTGTTTCTTTCTAGTAATTGCTCAATAATAATAAATATGTTTTGTTTTTGTTTTTGTTTTCTATTTTCTATTTTCTTTTCTTCATTAGTATATATTCAATTTACTTATATTAATATTTACCTGTTATTGTCTGTTTGCATTTTTGTTTAAGTCAAAAATCTTCTATTTCAACACACAAAAAAAATCTATAACAGTTTTGTCCGTTTTCTTTTTTATTTTACTTTTTCTTTTTCTTCAATACAGCTAGGTTGATTAATTGGAATTTCTCTTTTCTGTCTTGAAACATTTGGATCTATGAAAGTGCCTTCAATAGTATGTCAGATCTTTTTCATCGTCTTTTTTTTGTTCTTGCATTTTATTCTTCAGTTCTAAAATAAAAAAAAAAAAACATGACAGTGTTATTTTTGTTTTGTTTTGATTATTATGAGAATTTCTTTTTTTGTATTTTCTTAAATAAATCTTTAACTAAGAAATAAAGATATCGGTCATGGATACAATCATTTTTTAAGCATGTCTCTATGTATTCATACATCATGTACACACTTTTAAAAAAAAAACAAAAAAGAAATAATCAATAGTAACCAATTCATTAAACATGTGAATAATAAAAATTTCAAATTGTATTATTTACAATTACATAAAGGATGTTTATTGAACATGAAATGGTTTTCTTTTCCTTTTCTTTCTCTATTTTTTTGTTCGACGAAAGTAATGATTACATTATATTTTTCTGATATCAGTATTAAGTGCCTTTGGATGTCTAGGTATATATATATATATATATATATATATATATATATATATATATATATATATATATATCGATATATGTATATCTCTATCTATATATTGATTTTTCTGTTACTTCTAATCGATTAAAACATGACACAATTTTGCATTTGGTGTTTTTTTGTTGTTGGTTATTTTGTTCTGAATTAGTCATCTATTTGAGCACTACTGCATTGAACATTATGATAATGATAATGATGATGATGATGATGTAGATAATAGCAGTAGTAATAGTTATAGTAATATTGTACTAATTTTTATTGTACTCAAATCAATTTCTTTATGTTTTGTTGATAAATCAATGTTTTGTTTTTGTTTATATACATACAGTATTAGTATATATATATTTGTAATCCACTTAACAAACAATATTCTAGGTATCTTTTTTTTTCCTTTTTTTTCTTCTTTTTTCTTTTTCTTTTCTCTTTCTTTTTTCGTTTGTTCTTTTCTTTTTAAAATCATTCTTATTGTATACAATTATGTTGCCTTATATTCAATAATTCATTTCAATTGTGCCTTATAATCAATAAAACTTTATTATTATTATTATTATTATTATTATTGTATATGTATCTTTATTGTACTTTAACTTTATCATTATTCAATTGAAATTGAAATCATTGAACAAGTTTTAGAAGAAGAAAAAATATGAAAGAAAATAAAAATGACTAATTTGTTTTCTTTTTTTTTTCGTCTTTTTCATTCTGGTTTATAGTCTGTATTGTTTCTTTCACTTCAGCTATGCGACATTTGATTTTAAAGTCGCGCCAGTTGATTTTTCAAAACAAAAGAAAAAAAAACATAAAAAGAAAGAAAGAAAATTATTTGTATAAATCAATGAAAGAAAAGAAGTTTAAAAAAAAGAAAGAAATAGAATTTTAATTAATAAAGAAAAAACGTTTGTTATAATTTTGAATATTTCTTCTTTGTTTATTGAATTGCTAGGTGGTATGATAACAAGTAAACTAACCGAATTGTCCATTAGCTAACATGATAGATAAATAGATAGATAGATGTGTGGATAGATAGATAGTCATGACTGTCTCGTACCGATGGAAGTTTTGCTGAGATTATCACTAGTTGTAACTTTAGGTAACATAACGTTATTAGTAAATTAAGATCAAGTGAAGTTTATCAAAGAATCATTATTGAAATATTTCATTATTTCAAGATTAAGATCTGAAGAGCTGATTCATGTAAAGTGGAGATAAGTATCTTACTTACTTACTTACGCCTGTTACTCCTAATGGAGCATAGGCCGCCGACCAGCATTCTCCAACCCACTCTGTCCCACTCTGCCTTCTTTTCTAGTTCCATCCAATTCTTGTTCATTTTTCTCATATCTATCTCCATTTCTCGGCGTAATGTATTCTTTGGTCCTCCTCTCCTCCTTCGACCTTGAGGATTCCATATGAGGGCTTGTCTTGTGACGCAGTTCGGTGCTTTCCTCAATGTATGTATGTTCGATTCACTTCCAGCGCTTCTTCCTGATTTCTTCCTCCACTGGGATCTGATTTGTTCTCTCCCACAATAGGTTGTTGCTTATAGTGTCCGGCCAGCGGATCTGAAGTATTTTGCGTAGACAACTGTTAATAAACACCTGTATCTTTTGGACGATGGTTCTCGTAGTTTTCCAGGTTTCGGCCCCATACAGTAGAACTGTCTTGACATTTGTATTGAAAATTCTGACTTTGGTGTTGGTTGCTAATTGTTTTGAGTTCCAGATATTCTTCAGTTGTAAATATGCTGCTCTTGCTTTGCCAAACCGTGCCTTCACATCTGCATCAGATCCACCGTGTTCATCGATGATACTGCCCAAATATGTAAAGGTTTTTACATCTTCCAAAGCTTCTCCGTCAATTGTGATTGGATTGGTGCATGCTGTGTTGTATCGAAGAATCTTGCTTTTCCCTTTGTGTATATTGAGATCTATTGCTGCTGAGGCTGCTGCTACACTGGTTGTCTTCTTCTGCATTTGTTGTTGCGTATGCGATAGAAGAGCCCGATCATCTGCGAAGTCTAGATCATCCAATTACATAATGGAAGATGGTTGAGCAGTTTCTAGAATTGGTTGAAGATAGACGTCTCGGAAAAAAGATAAAAAAACGTCTCTGAAAACACTAAGAAGCATTTTATCCAATCACCATTCATTAGACATTTTGTCAGAAACATTAATTTTACTTTGGTTATTTATTCTCTGAAGAAATGACTTACACTAATTCACGAAATGTCAGAAAATTTAGTTTGTCTACTCTATGGGATATTACAAATATATTATTTATTTAGTAAAGAAATGTTAGATGATATATCAGAATAGTTTATCATCTTTCTAAATCTGTCAAATAAACAAAGAACAATGGTAATTAGATAGTCAAGCAAGTTCGAAACCATGTAGTATCTGTTATTATGTTAAGCTCATATACCTTATTCTAACATTCGAACAGCTCAATCTATTCATTCTATTTGAGTCACATTCTGACCTTGTTAACTATTCGCTGATCAATCTTCACCGTTGTTATATGAGCGCATATGTGTTTTCACATATCTTATCCTATTCATTTCATGCCTGTAACTTATTTTTATATGACTATAAATATTGATTAACGTTTGGTTGAATAGGTGTTGGCTTAACTGTCATCTCCACTGTGCGTTGTTTCGTTTCTCTCTATTCCATTCGCTTCATATACAAAATATATATATTCAAAAGTTCATTCTCGTTATTTGGCATATTTAATTCTGTTATTGACTAACACGATTTAAGTCAATGATTATATACGAGAAGAGGAGATAATAAACATTCATATGATCGAATTGGAGTCAGATCCTGGGCAACTAAAGTGGACAGCCTATCAACATAAAGTGTCCGATCTAAATAACGACAACCCACGAAGATTAACCATTGACTCTTTTAGTATACTGAGAATAAATTTAAATGATTTACTTTCAGTTGATTTCATGAAACTTCATTAAATGAAATTAGATTATTCACTAATTACTTTGAATATGTTTATTAAATCTATCACAGAGGTAATATGCTATATAAACGAAAAAACCGCTTTTCCCTAGGAGGCACAAACTCTTAGAGATATATTCACTAAAGCTGTTCAGATACTCGTCTTTCTACTTATCTAATGTATATGCTTTTACACTTATATGTAAAGTCATATAGGCAGTTGGTGGTGACATGTGATGAGTGCTTTTATATCTATGTTTGTAACCCATTTCTTAAAAACAATTAGCTATTTCTCGACTGTTCTCCATGAACTATTCAAGTCAAAGACTCTAAAAAAAACATAAGAGACCTAAAAATCAAAACTACAGTAAGAGAGATTTATAAAAGAAATGTGATAAGTCTTCTAATTGAACGCTAGATTTGGTTCCTAAGCTCTTCTAGTAACCACCTGGCTACATCTGAATAGTGACTTCAACATGGGGAAATACGCGTGAAATATGGAAGAAACACTTTACTCCAATAGTTTGTTTATGTACAGGATATCTAGGGTATTTATAGTACTTTAGATGCCCTTAGGTTTTGGGAAAATTGTGGAATGCTACTTAATATATAGTAGCGGTGTAAGTAATTATCCAAACAGAAACTCATCATGTGACTTTCCACTTTCTAAATGTTTCTGATAAAACTTCTAGTGAACGTTGATTGGATGAGATACTTCTTAGTGTTTTAAAAGCCTTTTTTGATAAATTTTCTGGATCTCCCCAACAAAATGTCTTAACAACATAACTATTCAGTATAGTGAGATTTCTGTTTATCATTAGAAGAGATAATATCACTGTCTCTGAATTGATTTCGATTTGTTATTTAGTATTTTCTATAAAAAAAAAAACTATAAAGTTTACAAAGTATGGATAAATGTGTTAATGTTAGTAAAATAAACCAGTCATATATACTTAAGAAATAAGAAGAAACGTGATAAAAGCAACAGTTGATAAGTATTTCAACTATTAACTAATAATATCAGCTCATCAATTGACTTGATGCCCTGGTACTCCCGAAGGTGGGTAGAGTCAGCTCTCTCTCTCTCTAGAAATGCCCGAATATGGCCATATGCATACAATCACTACCAAGGAAGTCCTACTCACTGTCTTCTCTCGGTGGAGGTGTTGTTCATTTAATTGAGAAGACAAAAATCGAATGTATGGCGCTTTAACCGGGTTGGTGGATATGGAGGATCCAGTGGAGGATCAGTGCTTGAAGTCACTAACTTCTGGTCTGAGCCATGTTGGGAGATTCAGACTGCCTGGTTGGGGTCCGCGTGACTATCGTAACCAATGGTTGGAGACTCTTGGTGACATGGCTCAGAATCGATCACAATGGCGTCGGTGTATACACTCTCTGTCTTCCTTAAATTAAGAGATTAAAATCGCTTCATATCTGTCTAGGAACTAATTCTTTCTTCCTTTACTATCTCCTTATACACAATCTTTCTTCTATATATTACCACCACTGAATTAACTACTCCTATGAATCCGGTGTTCATCTTGTTGTGCTAATGCGGTATGGCAACTTGGACTGATGCATATATGTGCCTGGTCCTACGTTGCAGCTGACTGACTGACTGACTGAGGATCCATTTAGAGGAGTTGAAAAACTCTAATTCCAAACCAATATTACACATGGGCTCCAGTATCCTGAAGGAACAAATAGCATATGAACCAATTACTGGTCATCGGTTACCATGAGACTGTATCTCCTGACGTTGCTCCACTGCCTTGTGGATTAGATCTTTAGGTTGAAGCCTCTTGGCGTGGCATCCTAAGAAAATTACCTGCTTCGGTTTGGGCACCCGGGCAGTATCATAGCCCTCACACAAATCAAATGATTTAAGTGCAGCATAACTATTTGGTTCCTCCTTGTATCAATGTTTATGTATTTAAATAAACGAATAAATAAATATCGAAAAATGGACTTATTCTAGAAGTATTCAATCGTTAGTCTACATGAAAACGATGTAAAACATCTTCAATTTTAAATCAAGCTTAACTAGAATAAGGATAAGAATAGTAAAACTGCTCATGAGGTTATGATGTACACTTGTCTTATTTATCTCAAAATGGGTTAGGGTTGGGATATTAATCTTGTATGGATAAATCTTATATGGAAATTTTGATTACTTTTGCTTCCTCTTGGTGAACTTAACATGATAAAGGAATTTTGGTAGCTACAAATGATAGTAAATCTTGCTTATTTGTCAACTTTAACACTATGTCCCTAACGTAGTCACTATGGCTGATGTTTTCAAAAAATAAAAGTAAAACATGAAACACTGTCCCAACTTCATTTATTAATTTTGTTCTAAAGTATTTTTGTCCAGCTGTTCAAATCGAGAAGGATATACTGTCGGTTATCAGGTCAAGCCCACATAACTTGTTCAAGCTTTTGGATAGATCAATTTATTCATTCTTCTTGAATCATATTTTGACCTTGTTAAATATTTACTTATCAACCTTGACTGTTTTTATGTAATCGTATATATTTCCATTTCATATCCTATTTATCACATGTTTATAACTTATTTTCATCTAACTATAAATATTTTGTAACGCTTGGTTAAATCGAGTTGACTAACACATCTTCTCTAATCCGTTTCGCTTCGTTTTGCTTCACTTCCTTAGCTCTGTCTTTCTGATTGTCTGTTCTGATCAACAAAATATACATTCTCATATTTAACTTATTTTAAATCCGTTATTCATTAAAGTTAGTTAAGTTGATATGTATATTACGATGACAATCAGCATAAAAGTGGTTTGGATAATTTTTTCTGGTTAGCGGTTTTTTTATCGAGTTACTTTTCTAAAGGATGCAGTCGATATCCCCATGTCCAACCCACCTCGTTTATCCGGGCTTGGGACCGGCAGTAGCCCTAGAGGGGCTCCAGGAGGAGTGGACAGCTAGAATACAGCTGGATGATCTAGACTTCGCAGATGATCGGGCTCTTCTATCGCACACACAACAACAAATACAGAAGAAGACGACCAGTGTAGCAGCAGCCTCAGCAGCAATAGATCTCAATATACACAAACGGAAAAGCGAAATTCTCCTATACAACACAGCATGCACCAATCCAACCACACTTGATGGAGAAGATTGGAAAGATGCAAAAACCTTTACATATTTGGGCAGTATCATTGATGAACACGGCAGATCTGATGTAAATGTGAAGGCGCGGATCAGCAAAGCAAGAACAGTATATCTACAACCGAAGAACATCTGGAACTCAAAACAACTGTCCACAATCTAACATCAAAGTCAGAATTTTCAATACAAATATCGAGAGAGATCAACTGTATGGGTCGAAAACCTGAAGATCTACAAAAGCCATCATTCATAAGATACAAGCGTTTATTAACCGTTGCCTACGCAAAATACTTCAGATCCACTGGTCACACACTATCAGCAACAACCTATCGTGGGAGAGAACGAACCTCATCTAAAGATCTGGAACAAACGCTGGAAGTGGATAAGACACATATTGAGGAATGAATGCACCCAAATGCGCCATATGGCAAGTCCTCAAATGAAATCCTCAAGGTCAAAGGTAAACAGGAAGACCAAAGAACACATTAGGGCCGATAAATGTAGACAGACATGAGAAGAATAAACAACAATTCGATAGACTTGGAAAGCTAAGCACAAAACAGAGTGAATTGTAGAATGTTAGTCGGTTACCTATGCTTCATTGAGAGTAACAAGAGTAAGTAAATGTAAGTAAGTGAAAAAATCAGCATACAATCCAATTGAAGTCAGATATATAATCACAAATCATTGTCAAAATATCGTATTAAAAAAGAACATTACACAATGACAAGAATATTTATATTGATTCATAACATTTTATAATAACAATATTCATACTGTTGATTTACAATAGTAGTCACATCACATAAACAACATAATATAAATGATTACATCATCATAAGCTTTGTTCAATTGTTTGAATTGATTACATGGTATTATATAATGTCAATTATCAATAATATAAATACAATAGAACATGACAATAATAGTTACATTTTCACTGTACAATACATATAGAGGATATAGGTCAAATAAGAACTACTATTCACAATAACAATAATAATAATAATAATATTAATAATACATTTCTATTATGGAAGAACATATTCTTTGAGGATGGTCATAGTTACTAAGACATAAAGGAATACATGTAGACATTCTATTAACATAGAAATATAAACTTATATAGAGAATGCTAGTCGGTAGCTTATGATCCATTGAGAGTAATAGGCTTAAGTAGGTCAATAAGTGAATCAGTAAGTAAGTCAATAAGTCAATAAATAATGAATCAATAAAAAAATGTCATAAATCAATAATAACACAATGTAACATGATTCTACACGAGGTAGACAATTAGAAATAGAGAATAGTAAGATAAAGTAAAATTTGATTGTTTTACTTTGTAGAAAACAAAACAAACAATGAAATAAAATAAAATATTGATTCATTTTTTAAAAAAATACTACTTATATTCATCTTTATTAGTAATAAATCGTAAGACATGAATAAAGAATATTCATTGAATAATATTGAATTGTATAATAATATGAATTGAATTTAAATGATTTGTTTGAATAAACAAAATTATTTATAAGGAATATTACTACTACTACTACTACTACTCATAAGAGTAATAGTAGTAGTAGTAGTAGTATTGGTAGTAGTAATGATGTATCTATGTAATTATAAGCATTCTTGTACAACACTCAAAACTTCTCTATCAACTTAATTTGGTATCTCATTAAAAAAGAAAACAAAAACGTCATTAAAACTAAAAATAATGACAAATGAGAATATCAGTATGAATATAATGAAGATAGATCTAGAAGTGAAGATGGATCTTTTGAATTATTTCAAAGAATTTAACTGAATAATTATCTATGATACAAAAAAAAACAAAAAGAAAAAGAAAACAGGAAAAAAAGCAAAGTAAAGAAAAGAAAAGAAAGAAAAAAGAATTAACAATATAAAAACGCCAAGAAAAATTTTCAAACAAAAATTCTATATTGTTTTGTTTATTTTTCTTTTTATTGTTTTTTTTTGTTTTCTTTGTTTAGAAAAGAAAAATTTTTTTTGTTTTTCGTTTTCAACTGTTCTATGTATAGTTTATACGGAATTCATTAATTTTACGAATATTCATTAAGAATTAAATAATTGATAACAATAAAAACAATAACTATAACAATACTAATAATTGATGAGTATACAATCGATATGATTCTGTTAGATTATTCTTTCTTCTATATCAATGCAATGATATATAAGTAGATAGATGTGTGAATAGACAGATAGATAGTTAGATAATGACATAGGATAGAACAAAATAGGATAGGATAGGATAGGGTAGATAGATAGATAAGTAGATAGATAAATAGATAGATAGATAAATAGATAGGATAAGATAGGATAGGATACAATAAAATAGGATAGGTTAGATAAATAAGTAGATAGATAGATAGATGTGTGGATAGATAGATAGATAGATAGGATAGGATAGAATAAAGTAGGATAGGGTAGATAGATAAGTAGATAGATAGATAGATAGATAGGATAAGACAGGATAAAATAAAAGAGAATAGGATAGATAGATTTGATGTACATGCTTATATATATTAATATGTCTACATTAATCTGTTTCTAACTTGGTAACAAGAGAACAAATAAATTTAAAGTATTGAAAAATAAATTTTAAAACCGAAAAACAAACAAAAAACAGAAAAATAAAATAAAATAAAAATTTAATCCTGGTGAATAGATATTGATTTTGTTTCTATTTGATAAGTTGTATGTTGTTTTTTCTCTTTTTCAATATTATTAGACCAATAAGCTGTATTACTTTCTAGATTACTCATTAGTTCAGGTATTGGAAAAACACCTAATAGTATATACAAAAAAAAAAAAAAACAAACACAAAATAGAAAAATAAAATATTTTATTATGATAATATAAACTATCTAAGTTCAAAATAGGTTCTTATTAACAATTTAAGCGTTCGAACGCGAGACGGATAGATCTTGGGTTGGAATTTCACGAGGCGAGATTGCGAATATGCACTTCTGAGGAATCTCACAATAAGACGAAACGGCCATCAAGTGCTTCCATGTTTTTTCACGTCAATCTAACTTCATTTGACTCATGATCTCAACTATTAAAATTTGGATAATATTCACAAAACCCCTTCTGATTTTAATCAACAAATGCTCATAATTGATTATCTTCAAGATGTATATCCTGGAATTCTAGTGAAAATCAGTAAACAGTGGAATTCAACTGGGCCAGTTGTGAGATAATAACTCACTGAATACAATGTTGGATGTGTCGCTTAACTTAACACAGTTGTTGCCAACTGGAGTTTCATTAAAAAAAAAAACACAATCTTTAGTGTTACACAGTTCAATAACTTCTTAGTTTCTTATTAATACATTGAATCAATAAGACTAATTTTGAAATATTTTTACCAAAATCAATATTTGACTTACAATCAAATCCTGAAAACATTCCTTTTAAAAAGAAATCAATAAATGATAACTGAGATTGTGAAATATTACAAGTTTGTCGATCAAAATTTGGCATAACAATAGGCAAATTACGTCGTTTCTCTTCTTCAGTCTAAATTGTAAATAATTAAAAGGATAGAATAAGAAAATGTATATTTTAGAAAATCTTTCTATGATAGGTACTTTGTAAAAACAGTTCACCAAATGGATTCGAACATGAATATAATCACATTTTATGAAAGTATTGAACAGATCTACAACCGCTCTGTGACAGCCACCCATGTCGTCTTCCCGCCAGCACACTTCAAGCTATCATATACGGCCTTCGCCATCTCACTCAGAAGCGTCCCCAGCACCACCAACTTCGCCTTTGGCTCCTTCACACCCAATAGCTCCGCCACGGCCTCAAACTCCTTCAGGAAGGTCAGCACATCTCCGTCCTCAAATTCCTCCGTCCATGGGATCTTTTTCCTTAATGGAGGCAGCGATACCAAATGTAGTGAACAGAACACGAGTGGGACAACCGAATGTATTTGACAACAAATTACAGCAATTGCTAATAAAATCTAACAACCATATAGTAAATCGTTAATTAGCAAAATATCAATCCATCACATCAAACTTGACTGTTCCTGCTGCAAACATCAATCCATTGACTCAGATTTCATTGTTCATGCGTTTTCATACAAATTGAATTGTGTTCCCGCTTTTCGTTTCTTGGTCTTCCCTCATCTTCTGCTACCAGACATTACGTTTTTAACTCGCATCATATACTACTTATATCAATATAAATAGGGCACACCACAGTATCATTAGTCAGATACAAGCATTGGGGAGTTATGTAAAGTAAATAGATTTATTATATAAAAGTAGATTATGGGTTGAACCAGAACTAGGAGTTATCAAAAGTAATAATAAATAATAAACAACAATGAGGGTTGTGATTTTAATGTAATAGGTGAGTTAAATATCGGTGTCATAGAATGATGCATCCTGTTATATCGTAAATCGATTGAAATTCAAATAGGACGAAACGGCTATCCAGTGCTTTCAAGTTTTCCATGGGGGTCTAGCTTCAATTGATTATTGATTTCAACTATTGATATTGCTCATTTACGTTTTTCATTATTTTGGTTAATCAATTTATGACATTAAATATAAATTTGCTACATTGATTTCATTATGATGTAATACATATACACTGGTAAATAGACACATATTTAAATGGAATTGATGTTTAGTTCTCATCTAACTTTGGACTGTTCTACAGGTGACATGAATTCCTTGATAGAAACTATTTTTCATTCCGTATGTTTTAGTTCTTTTTAAAAAGAACATATAGGAAATAGCTATTACTTTGAGTCATAGGTTTCCACAGTGGTCCAGTAGTTTAGGCGTTCGCGCGTGAGACTGAATGCCGTGGGTTCGAGTCCCACGAGCGGGGTCATGGATGCGTGCTGCTGAGGAGTCCCACAATAGGATGAAACGGCCTTCCATTGCTTCCAGGTTTTCAATGGTGGTCTAACATCAATCGGTTCATGATGTCAATCAAAAATTTAACAATCTCCACAACCCCTAAACTGGTTTTCACATTGTTATCAAATGAACCATTAAAGACCTAAATACTTCGATAAATTCTTTTTTTTTGAGTGAAGCTTATAAAACTGTGAGATACTACATGACCGATATGTTAGTAATATGAATGAGTCTAGTCATTTATTCTGAATGAAGGTTTGCTTCTCATTATGGTTTCGAAGAACCTATGTAAAAAAATGTCAATAAACACAAAATGGTCTGTGAAGCCCTACTAAGCCATTTACTTGACATATCAGTAAACCTTAGTTCTGTCAAAAAAATATATGAATTCAAACGTCCATTCACCTGTCTTATGGTTGAACCGTGGAAGGAATCATGATATAAATTTCCGATTAGTAGACAAAAAAAACAAATTTCAGCAAAGATGGATGGTGGCTTGCAGTGGAATCCACAACGAGTGTTCCGACCTACTTGAGACTGGTCAACTAGATATACCTGCATCACAGAGTTTATGTTCACTCCGGTACTGGAACCCAGTACCGTTCGCTTCAAACGTCATCGCATTATCCACTTAGCTACCGAGCCCTGATAGCCACCTGCTTGTGAATTGTGGTGCTTAAAATGCTTGTGACTTAAGGCTATATCGAGGTAATACGCACAGGATGCACATATGCTAACATGAGACTGATGGGAAGGTACAAGTAAAACAACACCAAATGAATTAAAATGAATTTCACTTTTAAAAAATTTACTTACTTGACAAAAGTATTCTTCTGCTATTCTTGTTGCCCATTCTTTACATATAGATAATGGTCTTGTAGGATTATTAACATCGGAACATTTAATTATTAAACGTTTAATTAATGTTCTATTTTCTGCAGTTGATAAGTTTTCTAATGTACTAGATATACGTTCTTGTCCAGGACTTGGTGAAGTAGAATGAGATATTATCATTCCCATAGAACATGATTCCATAGAACTCATACTACCAACAGATGAACGATCATGGTGCTGTATTAAAACAAAATAATAAAATGTTTTAAGATTAGTGCACTATTTATACCTGACATACATATTTATGTTATAGAATGAATTTGAAGAAAGATAACATTGGGTTAAATTACTTTAATGAAGTAGAAATGTAAGATGCTCTGTAGCACGACATCAATTCTGATTTAATCGTATCACTCAGGTGTGATATAATCACGGTCTAAGTGAATCAATGTAACGTATAATATGTATTGATTTAAGTCAGTGGTTGGAAGCATTCAGCAAGAAACATTGTTTTTGAGTTTAATCTAAACTGATATATATATATATATATATATATATATATATATATCAGTGTTTACTTCAAATGTTGAAGAAAACTGATACTCCTTATGAAACTCGAATCTAAGTCATCCAGTTTGAGACTTCATTACTGTGCTATTCGAGCAGAGATTAACCTTTTGTAGGACTGGAGTATTCATAACGATTACCAATTTTTCTAATTTTTCATCATTTTAAGCTGCTATGTCCCGACAAGAATAATGAATGCTAACTTTGGGATCCATTTATGGACCAATACTGTACGTATATTTTTATCTTATAATTGTTAAATAACTAAACTAGCCATATTCATATTCCTCTTATTATAAGCTTTATTTTAACATATGAACCATTATCATACGTTTTACCATTCTTGAATTATGCCCTGTCTATTAGTCACTGCCTCCCACATTCACAGCCACATTTGGCCAAATTTTGTACAAATGTTATTTTCTATTTTATGGTAGGATGTTGTCTGTCTGGTTGATATATAAAACGAATGTGTTTGAAATAAATGATTCTTATCGCTGAGGCTCGGATTGGTGTTCTGAACTGAACTGGCTAGGCTGGGCGGAAAACGTGACTAATCAGGACTCTAGACTACTCGTACGGGTTTTACGCGTCATTGATCCGATCGATAAGTTACTGCCCATCTACTCGGCGGCCCCTCAATATATAACATCAGCATTATAGTTTCATACAATAAATTTAATCCCTTTATAATTTACCTTTACATAGCTTTGAATTTTGATAAGATCAACCTGGTCAGATTTAAACGATCAAAGTGATCATTGGAAAAGTACCTACTTTAATTTTAGTTCCAACATATAGATTATTTTACCTTTAAGACTGACCATTTTGACGGTTGTCATTATATGTCTATGTATCTTTAAAAAAAACGTTTACTTTCTATTCTCATGATCACTGATTATCTTTATAATAATAATGATAAAAAACAGTACTGATTTGAAAATTACTTATGATAAACCTAACTCACATTTAGGCTATAAGACAAACTTCTAAGTAAAGATGGACAACGGCTAGCAGTGGAATACATGATGCGTATTTCGTTCAATTTGGGACTCGTCAACTGGATGTACCTGCATCTCAGTGTTGATGTTCACTTTGGGACTCAAATATATCTTTGCTAAGAATGCATGTGAATTAAGGCAATATCGAGGAAATGCGCACAGGATGCACATATGCCAATAAGAGACTGATCAATTGCAGTCGTAAACTTCACCCTATTGCACAAGCAGGTGGCTAACATGACTCAGTAGCTAAGTGGAAAACGCGATAGCGTTTGAAGCGGAAGGTAGTGGGTTCAAGTCCCAGAGTGAACAACTCTGAGATGCAAGTACATTCAGTCGTCGAGTCTCAAATGGGACGGAATGCGCATCGTGGATTCTACCGCAAGCCACCATCCGTCCTCGCTGATAATGCTTGTGAATTAAGGCAATATTCGGGCAATCCTCATAGGATGTAAATATGCCAACAAGAGACTGATCAGTTGCAGTCAATGGGAAGATTCAAGTAAACTATACCGAGTGAATATAAGACGATCTGTTCTTAATATTGGGTTCGTTCATACAACCAACCACCTAATGCAATACGTTCACTATTGAGTACTTTCAAAAGTAATGATTTGGATATATAACCTTATGTAATAGAAAATCCTCTAGAAAATTAATAACCCCTTGATCAACTATGTAGGTTTGAATTTTAACTAATCCCAATGCAATCAAGGAGTATAACTAATTTAAACTGATTTAATAAATAATAATTAGAATAGAGGGGTTTTGTGGATATTATAGTAATTTAATGGTTGAAATCGTTAGCCAATTGAAGTTAGACCACTATGGAAAACCTAAGAGCATTGGACGGCCGCTACATCCTAATATTGGACTCCTCAAAAGTGCGCATCCACGGTCCCACCTCGCAGGACTCGAACCCAGAACCTGTCAGTCTCGCGCGCGAATGCCTAACCACTAAACCACTGAGCCGGCCGCCATCCACGAAGTTGTGTCCTCAGTGAGTTACTATATCATAACAGACCCAGTTGAACTCCACCGGTCACAGCTTCTCCCTAGAACTCCAGGTAATAACTCTTGGAGATAGTCACCAGTGAGCATATGATGATTATAATCAGAGAGGGGTTTTGTGAAGATTTTAGTAACTTAATAAATGAATTTATGCTTTTAGGTTTTCCATGGTGATCTAACTTCAATTGATTCATGAATTCAATTATTATATAAATAGAAGAATGAAAAACTGAAATAATCCTCATAATGAATTATCATCCAAAAACAATATTATATATAGATATCAATCACTTACTCGATTCTTTGCAAGCATTGGTTTACTTAATGTATTTACAAATTTTGTAACTATATCAAAATGTCGTACCATTTCAGTAGATAATACCATATCCACAATATAGCTACGCATTGTACGATATTCTTCACTGTATGTATAATGAATGAAGATAATAAGAAAACATAATCATCCAATGAAACACTAGTCATAATAATAATAATAATAATAATAATAAATGTTACCATATTAAGTAACAAGAAAACTCATAATGATGGTTCCTGTCACTGGATAGATATCAGAGAGGGGTTTTTAGGAGATTGTAGTAATTGAACAATTGAATTTATGAGTCAATTGAAGCTAGATCACCATGAAAAATCTGGAGACTGATAAGTCCTGAATTCGAATCTCGTGGGATGGGATCGTGCATACGCACTACTGAGGAGTCCCATACTGGGATAAATATCAATTAAAAAACTAAAGTACACTAAAAAGGTTCTGATACTATTTTGTGTGTCTATTACAATGTAAATGAAATAGATCTTTTATATGGGTGATAGTGTAGAGATTTATATATCGTATAGATTAAATAAGTTAACAGTTATCATGATCCATCTGTCTATATGAACTCAAAATAATTTTCAACCAATATCAAAGTCAGAATCTTCACTATCAACGTCAAGACAGTTCTACTATGCGGAGCTGGAACTTGAAGAACTACTAAAACCATCATCAAGAATGTACAAGTATTTATCAATAGTTGTCTACTCAAGATACTCAACATTCATTGGACGGATACCATCAGTAACAGTCTTCTGTAGGAGAGAACAAACCAGCTTCCAGCTGAAGAGGAAACTAGGAAAAGACAATGGAAATGGATAGGATATACATTACACAGATCATCAAACTGCATCACGAGGCAATCGCTAACTTGGAATTGTGAAGGAAAGCGGAAAAGAGAAAGGCCAAGTACTACATTACGTCGGTAAATAGAACCAGATATGAAAAGGATGAACAACAACTAAAAAGAGCTGGAAAGGATTGCCCAGGACAGGGTTAGATGGAGAATGCTGGTGAGCGGCCTATGTTCCTTTACGAGGAGTAACAGGAGTAAGTAAGTAATAATGTAACTTGTCATAACTTCACATGAGATTAAATGTCTTTCATATTTATACACAAGAAATAAATAATACGTAGAATAGTGTAATATCATTTTGTTAGATAAACTGAAACTAAATAACCTTTTAAATGAATGTAGAAGTTACCAAATAAAGTTGTTTAGTTTTAATAAGGCAAAAACTTTGGATCTGTTCGAGGAGTAACAGACGTAAGTAAGAATCTGTCTATATGATACATCAACAGATCATGTACTTATGAATGATACTTTGCAAACATTGTCGTAACATTTTGGAACTGCCATCATTAGGATTGATCTGATTATTACAAATAATGTGATGTTGTTCGGACACTCAAATCTACTCCATCTAACATGTAGTAATTATCATCCTAACCCGTGATCATGAACTGTTATTATATGTTTCATCTTCCCTTAATTATTTTTAATTAATTACGGAATAATTGCTCAGTTTTGTGGTAATGCTGGCTTAGTTATGTACAAACTATGGTTTCTGATTTATGCTGTGGTATGGTCTGATAATTAATGTATATCACTCTTGTGAGTATTGAAGATGTAAGACATAGAAGGATAATATCAGACATCCGCTGGTTAACTTTGTCCTCTGATTGGACACTGGAATTGAAAGTGTTCGTGGAATAATACGCGTTAAGGTTTCAGTCATTTCTTTCATATTCATTGGATGGTTCGCCTAGAGTAGGTCATAATTCAATATTCACAAACTAACTGATATATTGGTAGTTTTGGACGGAGAACTTTAAACTGTAATAAAAGTAAAACGTTAAATAAGTGAGCTTTTGTTACTGTCAAAATAGGTTGAAAAGGTCATTATTCTTCTACGATTTTAGTGCTGTATCCACCTTTAATTGGGAATTAGCATGTGACAATTACCATGAGTGGACACTTGACATCTACCGACTCAGTTTGATGTCGCGGGGTTTTCTCCAATACTCTTAGTGTTGTGAAAATACCTCTTCCACATGAAGGCACTAAGTAGAATTTCTCATAAGTGTACGACTACATAAAAATATTTTGTAAGGTAGAATGAGATCTTCTTAGCTTTCATTGGAACGGTGAATTTGATGCATGAATGATCAACTTATAGACAATATGAGTGAGTGAAATACACCCTAAAACTTTTAAAGACATCACCTACCGTGTTAAATTCTGAAAAATATTGATGTCAGGTGATCGGAGGGTTAATTCAAATGAAACAGCCGCATGATGACTTTCTAATACAGCACTTGAATAAAAAATAAAACAAAAAAAAAAAGAATACAAATACAAACAACTGAATAATTCTATCTTAACATTTTGAATTTACTAAATAAGCATTAGAATACATGTTTAAGAAAGGCTATTTATTGTTTGATAAAAGTGTACCCAAAACAGAAAGACGAATATAAGCACAGATGTATAGTGACTAACTTTTGGATCCATTTAAGACCCATCAGCTATAAATACCAACTCTAGGTTCCAGGCATGTTCAACTAATAGCCATCATAAATCACTGCTCATAATGCTCTTGACTTAAGTCAATATTGAGGCAATCCGCACAGGATGCATATATGCCAAAAGATATCGATCAATGCAATCATGAACATCATTAGGAAGATCCAAACAATCAATATAAACGAAGATAAATTGATCTATTTAGGTAACTTTTTTAAATATTCTGTCTCAATAAGAAAACCCTCTTATACTTTGGAACTATGAATACTTCTCAAGATACTATATGATATACTGAGAAGACTAAGTTTTACTATGTTATTATCAGCAGTGTACTATAATACAGAATTGAACATTTAGAATAAATTAAAAATAAGATCACTTTCTTCTTGATTTATTGAATGTCACTTTCAAGTGTATCCGAGATTTCAACATTTCTAGAAACTTGAAAAAGTCAAATTCTACTTAAAATCATTCACATCTACCTTAGTCATTAAGTATATATTAATTTTTCTGGTAAGCGTTTTTTTAGCGAGTTTGTTTTCTACGGGATGGGGTCGCTAACTCCATGCTCAACCTTCCTCTTTTATCCGGGCTTGGGACCAGCAGTAGCACCCGGAGGGACTCCAGGCGGGAAACTGGAAAACCACGAGAGCCATCATCCAAAAGATATAGGTGTTTATTAACAGTTGTCTACACAAAATACTTCGGATCCGTTGGTCAGACACTATTAGCAACAACCTATTGTGGGAGAGAACAAATCAGATCCCAGTGAAGGACAAAAATAGGAAGAAGTGCTGAAAGTCGATAGGACACACATTGAGGAAAACACCGAACTGCGTCACAAGACAAGCCCCCACATGGAATCCTCAAGATCGAAGGAGAAGAGGAAGACCAATGAACACATTACGTCGAGAAATGGAGATAGACATGAGAAAAATGAACAAAAAATGGATGGAACTAGAAAAGAAGGCAGAGTGGGACAGAGTGGGTTGGAGAATGCTGGTCGGCGGCCTATGCTCCATTAGGAGTAACAGGCGTAAGTAAGTAAGTAAGTATATATTAATTTTGAATAACATGTGTTATATGATCTTGTCCAGATATCAAAATCCGGAAAAATAAAGTAGCCTTTAAATTATAGCTTACTTAAACTACTTAACTAAGGTTGAACATGTCATTTAGTCGATTTCTAGATTAACTGGAAGGACAATTGCATAGATATTCTGAATGATATTCAACCAATATTCATCAAAGATTACTCAATCGTAGGTCAAATCATTGCATAATCAAACGATAATAAATAAGTTATACAGTAAATTTCACTTCAACACTTACATATCATTATATAGAATAGCTAATGGATCATTACTATTCACAAGAAATGGATTTGTTTTCCCCGGATGGTCTACATCATGTACTATCGCGGCTAGAAGTGTAGCAACTTCATCGATATTTGTGCATATTGACTGAAATTCAATAATAAGGAACAAGAACAGAGATAGTTATTTAAGAGTGTCTGTGAAAATGGAAGTCTTATAAGTATATTTATATTAGTAATGACTTTAAACCATATTCTTTTGTTGTGTCAGATAGTTGATAGCGCCAACCAATTATTCAATGAATTGCACTAAAACCATTCTTGATCAAGATAAGTTCAATTAGCGAACGCCTGAACAACAATGATCAATGTCACATTGAAAGACTTCAAAGGTAAAAATCCTCCTCAGCAGTGCGATTATCGATCGACATTTAAATTACGTGGTTGACGCTTAACATTTTGAACACTGAGCTAACATCCATTGTTTTACAACTATAAATTCAGTCAATTCCAGATATTTTGACGTCATATTCTGATTACACCTATGGGTAATTGCCTCATACTCGACTTGATTAAACTTCACCCATTAGGGTTCTATACTAGAATTCAAAGACTGATCTCACGGAATCAGACTACAGTGAACATACAATTACTTAACCACTATATGTTTGTGAATATTATTCAGTTTCATGATTTATGTATCAAATCAACCAGCAAATTAACATATGCTCACTAGTGAGTTGTTTCAAGAGGTATTCCTTGGAGTTCTAGTGAGAAGCCGTGACCAGTGGAGTTCCACCGGGTCTGTTGTGAGATAGTAACTCATTTAAAACAACGGTGTATGTGTTGATCAATTTCGTGCATTAGTTGAAGTTAGATATTAATGCGGTTGGATGCCGGAGGGCTCAGTGGTCTAGCGGTTAAGCGCACGCGCGCGAGACTGTGGATGTGTACTACCGAGTCCCATACTAAGACGAAACGGCCTTTCAGTGCTTTCAGGTTTTCCATGGTGGTCTAGCTTCGATTGATTGATGATTTCAACCACTGAAATTAACTAATGTCTAAAATGTCAACCATTGGAACTCTTGATGTCTTTTATTTCATCTTGTATAAAGTTGCAAGTGTGCAATGCTGCAAAGTCCTATAAGATAATGAATACAGCTGTCTAGTGCTTATAGGATTATCTATTCCAGTTATTAAACTAGATACTTGTATTAAAACACTTAATATTAGTGACAAAATGTTCAGTTATCATATTTTCATCCAAACTAATAAATTACTACTGGATTATAGTCATTGGAACCTTCATATATTGTTGCTCACATTAAAATAATCTTTAACTTGATTATGTACTGGAAACAGTTTTCTTTCCATGAATTCCTTATGAACACAAAGATTTGGATTGTTAGCTCGAATTTTTATAGCTTCTACGATGTGTAAGAGACGAGATCAAACACCATTAGGGAAACCTATTAGGAATACGATAAATTACTTTAAATGACTTGTTTCTGTTCACTACATGACCGCTATCGATCAAGTGTGGTAGAACCAAGCTGCTTATTGTCTTGATATTACTTTTTCCTAATCACGAAGGGAGCTGTTCACTAACTCTTTGATTCAGTTGCTTGATAGTACGCTCAATATAACTTTCTCCAAAGGAGCAGGTGAATTCGTAGATTCACATGTATCTACCTTGATTGGTTTACTAACTTCATATATGCATATAAATATTACTGTATATTCGAGTAAAATCTAATGAGGATCTATGTTGTTCTAAAGTTAAATTGTTATCAGAATTAGAAACGAAGCAGTATTAGTAAATATCAACATCTCGCTAGGTTTGTACCATAGTTTGTATAGGATAATATTGAAACAATACAGTCGTTCTTTGCTAAATATTAATTAGTTTACTGAAGTTCATTGAAATTTTGTAATTAATGGCATGTACAAAATCTTTGATATTTGAAAAGGTATTTATGAAAGATATAGTGCACATGAAATGGGTGAAGTAAAGTCATCTCTTTTTGAAATGTTTATTGTATAACTATGTAGGCTTCAGTTCAAATGACTTAACGCTTTCAAAATAATAACAACAAAACAAATCTCATTATTGATAAACATATTATGCGGATACAGTTTTAGGTACAAGAAACTTGTATTGTCGGTTACTATGTTAAGCCAATATAACATATTCTAGCTTCTGGACATTCCAATTTATTCATTCTTTTTTGAGTCACGTTTTAGCCTTGTTAATTATTCACTTATCCACCCTGACTGTTTTTATATGAGCGTATGTGTATGTACATCATATTCAATTAATTATATGTCTGTAACTTATTTTTGTGTGACTATAAATATTGATTAACACTTGACTAAATAGAGTTGGCTCACGCGCGTTCTCCACTGCGCGTCATTTTGCTTCGTTCTTCTGACGATTCGCCCAGATCAATAATTGTATAAAATATACGTATCCAAGATCTATTCTCGTATTCAACTTATTTAATTTCATTATTCAGTAACTCAAGTTAAATCGACAATTATATAGAAGAATATCTAGGATGTATATTTCAATAACAATCATTTATACAATCTAATTGAAGTTAGATCCCAGGTCACTAAAAACTTAACCAAAAATTCACATTGAAGTCATATAACTCTTATTCTGTTCATTTTAATATTACACTAGTAAACTTACTCTTATTAAACTATGTTGTAGAAAGTAAGCTGATGCTTGTAGAACATCACCTGCATGTGTAGCATTATGATATGGATTATCCACATGATAATGTTCTTCAATTACTGTTAACCAACCAATTAAAATTTGACTAGGTATACGTAGTACACTAAGAGCATTAAAACTGTCCAATATCTTCATACCTAAATAAGTGAGAGGTCTGAAAAAGAAAAGATATACAAAAAAAAATGGATCTATTTTTTTTTTAGAAACTATTAGGTTGCCGATGAAATAGTAAAGTTGAACTCATAGGAAATCAATTTGTATCGATGTTTTTTTCCCTTTTTTCTATTGGTTGGTTGAATCATTCGATTGATTTTTTAGGACTGTAATTGATCAGTCTTTTGTTAAAATATGTGAATCCTATGACCTAGTATGAATGTTAACTTTAGGATGAATGTACATCCAGTTAACGAGGTCCAAATAGAAGGAAGCGTGCGCCACCATCCATCTCTGTTTATAATTGTATTCTTTTGTTATATGAATAAAGATCTTCGGTTGATCACGACCAGCGCGTAAGTTGATTTAAATAAACTTTACTTTGTATGTTAGTGAAGAAGACAAAAATGGGAAATATAATAATATCATAGTTATGTGACTCAAGATGTTGAGTCATTTGAACGACGAATCCATACAAGTCACTGGTAGCAAAACATTATTAAACATTTTTCACGGACTTTAACAAGAACTTTCAGATAATCACAATCCCATGTTTTGGAACACCGATATCAAAAATACATTTTCCTCTATTTTTATTCTGCATAGACTTTAGAGAAAGACGAAGGGGGTTTGAATTAAGGATGAGTTTATTATTATTTGAACACATAGATATTTGTA